CGAGAAACTCAGAGATGCGAGGCCGGGTTGGAATCCACGGCCTCTGTTTGAGAGGCGATATTTTTTTTAGATATATTTTATTATTTTGCATTTCAATTACTACCTAAAATGTATTTTGTAATTGGTATTCAAATGTCTGACAGTGGTGTGTTTTGTAATTGATATTTAAAATACTTTAAGAGCCGATACTGCCTCAGCTTGAATTCAAATTATTCCCCTACTAATACGGTTCATTTTGCTTGGGTCGAGCGGCAGAGACACTGGTTTTATTTCAGAATTTTTTTTACGAACGAAATTGAAGCCTTTTGAAAAATGAATATCGTATAGTATTCTATTTAGTTAAGTTGATTTAAAAAAAATCATTGGTATATGCAAAGTACCTATTGAATGCAGTTGTTTTCTTGTAAAATTTCGAGGTAATTTGTCTACCGTGAAATTTTTTTAGGAATTGTGTTTTATACACCGTATAGAGTAATTAATCAATATGTATATATCCTCAATTTTATTATTAATTCAACACTTTCACTGTTATTTATAAAAAAATAAAAAAAGCTTTTTTAAAATTTGAGGTTGAAAAAAAGAATATTAACATGGTGGTCAAACATGCGGTAAAGGAAAATATCGTGATAAAACCTACATGTCGAAGAAGGCAAAACGTGTGACGCGCCAATCCGCATGGGGTCAGGATAGATTACTATGGCCTAATTCTCTTTTTAGAGGTGACCCGAACAAACTACATACAGCTATGAAAATATTACGTTCTTCTTTATGTTCCCTGTCAGTGGTTTAGTAAAATACTGTCTGATTTATAAGTTATTTGTTGTAAACGACTTAAGTAGGTCGCGGCGTATGCAAAATGTTGTATAGTCGGCAGATTGTACACTTACAATCGAATTTCTCATAGATCTAGTACACATGATGGTATTTAAAGAAACTATCATACACGGGGTCTCATGGTACATTGATGGAAATGTTATTTAAGTAAAAAAAACATTGACTTACAATTATATGGACGTCGGGTCCGCGCTAAAAAGTGTCCGAACTTATAGGGCGTTAAAATCGTATACAGAGCGTCATTCACGCTTTAGTCTTCGTTTGTTCGACTGACAGCGAAGCAAGCAAAATTAGACAGTACTGCCATGACGTTACAATTTAAATTCAACGTTTTAGCTTTTTCATATTCCTTTACATGTCACTACGTTTAAATAGGTTGACTTGGGACATTTTTTTCGTGATTTTTGTATTAGACCCGTAGTCCATTTATTTGTAAGTCAATGAAAAAAAAAAAATTTTTTAACCGACTTGAAAAAGGGAGGTTCTCAGTTCGACTTTTTTTATATATGTTATGCGATTACTTCAGCAATTGTGAACCGATTTTGATGATTCTGTTTTGTTGGAAAGAGGATACCTCAGTATTGGTCTCATTTAAATTTGACGAGAATTCCATCTCTGAGGGTGGCACAATTATGGGATGAATCCGGTTTGGCGCACTCACCGGTAACATGTTTCAATAAAAATAGATCTAATTCCACGAATTTTTCAAGTCGGTCTTTTTATAATTTGTTACGCAATTGTACATAGCATAATGAACCTTATGTCAATTGTGTAACATACAAATTATTGTCCGTCCAACCATTTATTTTACTTTTGACAGCTCGACTACTAATTCATTAGTGATGTCCTAATGCGTTACCGATTCAATTTCTTATAACAATCGATTTTATTTACGAAGAAGTTTTAATCGTAATTTTAATTCACAACGAATTCGTCAAACAACGTTAATTTTTATAGTAAACAAAAAAATGTAATCAATTTGATACACTGATATTTTCAACATTATTATATTATAGGTATTAAAAAACGAGGTAACGTACGACTACGGCGGAATAGTAAACCAATAGAATTTATTATAATTATATCAAATTTATTTATTTTCATTATATTTTCTTCTTTTCCGGGGTTTCAGTGGGAGGTATTATCCACTCTATGTTTCTTACTTGAAGTTCAGGATAATACACTCTACTTTTCCGAACTCAGTAGGTTAGCACGATAGGGCGCGACTTGCGTGATAGCGACATAAAGCGCGAGATACTACTGTTCTCGCGTAGAAATGTCGGGCTTTATGTCGCACACGCGCAAGTCGCGCTCTGTCGTGCTAACCCTACTGATGATGATAGATAAAGTGGCAACCGAATAGTGGCCAAGAAGACAGAAATGTTTCTGGGATGTACTGCAACGACATGAGCAGACGACATGGTCAAAATCGCGAGCTATAGTTGGACAAAACTAGCGCAACTTGTTACCATATTTTGAACAAGTCGCAAAAACATTTTGATTATATTTTTAATTTAAGGTGGCAGTGTGTAGTTGTGGGCAACTTAACACCGCCGCCTAAAAAGTTTAAAAAAAGAAGTGTGACCTGATGACTGTAGCGATATACTAATGGACTCTATAGGTCATTTCCGGGTCCGTTTAGTGGGTGGCCAACTTGACAGGAATAAACAAATTGTGTTCAAAGTTTAACTCTACGGCGACGTTATACAGTTAAATTGTACAATAAAAAATCGTGGGAAGTAATAGGCGTGGTGTAGAAACCACAATTGAAAAGCTCCGAGCCGAATAGTTAGCACGTCAGATGTATTATTTCTAATTATAGAATATAATTCAAATAGTTCAAGGTTTAATTTAGTTTGACGTGCATTGCGGTTTCACGAAGAATATGTTTTAATGAAATTTTATAAACACAATACATGACATGGGTACGGTGTGTGTTATCTTTAAATGATTTTATTTTCTATAGAACATGAAACCAATTTAAAAAATATAACATGATCATCATGGAGACGGTTTTAAGTCATAGTTCGCCACGTAGGTCCAATGCAGGTTGGGGATTTTTTTCTTATAACATCAAGCGACGGGACGAACAAGTCGTGCGCGTATGGTAAGCTACACGCCTAACCATAACAGTTACAGTGCCACTCAGAGCTTTAAATTGCAAAGATCTGAGGGGCACTACCACTGCGCCCGTCACCCTGAGACATAAGCCGACAAGACCCATGTGCCTGTAATTTCACCAGCACCTTTACCCTTGAAAACCGGAACACAGTAATGCTGACATTACTGCTTGACGGCAGAAATAGGTAAGGTGTTAGTACCACCCCGGACGAACTCTTTCACAAGGAGCTCTACTGCCACAAAAATGTTTTCCATATGTTTTCCAACGATTATGAATCTTCTTCAGCAGGTTAACGAGGGGTATTGACAGCAAATATTCAAAAAATTGCATAACATAGAAATGCATAATTTAAGGCGAAGTGGTATCTTGGATGTGCGCCTTAAATTCTTGAAACACATGCTTTTTAGAAATAAATTACACTCGCTTACTATTAAATGAGCTTATAGTCCCATAACTTATGAGTCTTATTACCATGGGCCAATAACTCGAGAGGATTGCTTATCTCCATACTACAGATAGTAGCTCTGAAAAAGGTCAATAACCCGTCTTATATCAAGATGGCGCTGATCAATAGCCTGAAAGTTGTTTGTATTATGTAAATGGTCGTGGATAACAATTAATTCCTATTTAATATGAAATATAAGTTAGTTTTTTCCTTGTAATGTTAATCAAGAGATAAAATTATTTTCTGGACTCTGACAAACATGCGTGTCAATAGATGGCAGTGTTGTTACAAAGTAATTTATAAATTAACGCTTCCTTATATGGGTAGATGGCGCTAATCCTAGACAAAATAGAAGAATAACAGGCACTATCCTTAAAAATCTGTACAATAAGCGCCATCTGGTTGATTTGTTTGTTATTACTAGAGATTAGAGTAGATTTTGATAAATTGCACCTTGTCAATGTAAAACAAATTAGTTACAAACACCTGTTTTTTTTACTGTAATCGTATAGTCACTCTTTATGATGTCCTCCCCTTTAAAATCCCCTGCCCCGTCAAAATCAACTTCCTCTCAACGTTAGTCCACTCTTCCTTTGTCTATGTCATGTGTAAGTTTATTAAAAGAAAACAATTTGTTTTTGCAATAGTCTGTGTATGTACTTTGTTGTTGTTCGGAATTTACTGGTCAATCTTTGAGTTAAAAACGCGTGCGTTCCTCAATTTGGCATTGGCGGGCATCGATGGGGTTGTAACATTATAAAGTAGAAGTCATATTTTTACAAAACTACCGCACAATAGTCATTTTTACTTGACATTGGCGAAATCATCGTATATTTCGATGGAGCCATAGCATTTAAAAGAAAAACATCTGGTGTACCAACATGCACTAAATACACGACTACGCCATCTTGTATCGCGATTAGCATGAATTATTGGTCCATGGTATTGCGAAACGACGAAAAAAATTCTGAAAACTGATTTTTTACAACACGACGTAGGACGAATTTTGTGGAACTTTGAGTTTTTTTATACCGATCTAAGTTTAGTCTTTTGTGTTTCGAGCCCCATAGTTCACTACCGGTATCTTCTATATACATAATAAATTAAAAAAAAAAAACAAGTTGAATTCGTGTTATTAACCCCGAAAAACCGACTTTCCATGTGGTCGAAATAAATCAAAACATCTATTTTGTATCTCAAGTGAATTTCAAATTTTTTTGTGGATATCCACCACACTTGTTGACACGGATTCGCATTCAGAAGGTCGATGAAATCCTTATGTCCATGTAATAAAAGCGAAAATAAAGTTGTGCGTTTCGTGTCGGCAATACAAGCGGAATCGAAACGCGCAACATCTTTTTCGCCTTTACTTCATAAAGTTTTCTCTGACCGGCTCAAGGCCATTCCTTGTGAATAAAGTAGTTAGTCCTTTACGTGATGATTGCGAAGACAGTCAGGGTTAAAAGACTCAGTGCTCTGACGAGACGAATTGACGATTATTTTTGAGTCTCAATTCACCTAAAAACCACGTCTAAACGAAGGACAAAATGTAAGTAATCTCAGTCAGTAAGAACAAATGCAAAGCAAAAGTGGACTTACCTATTTTTGTTTTTATATCTAAACATTGTGATATGTGCGGGAACTGAAGGATCTTTCGCCACTTCTTGCTCTTCCCCTTGTTGCTATCGGAACCACCTGCGAAGAAAAAATAATTTTAGAATTATGTTATATATTGATTAAATGAAGTCGTGGTGGTCTTAGCTCTAAGGTTGATATCATACAATGTTTAATGTAGTCTCTCTTGTCTCTGCATTATCCACTTGTTGGGTGGGGTGGGTGCCTGGACACATATCATACAGGCTAGACCTAGTGTAGGCTCCAGTCTCCCACAAACGTATCTAATTCTAAGTACCCTATTCTTAATATGCGTATATTTGTATTGTATAGATTTATTGAATCTATGTTTACGCGTCCTTGTTATATTTATAGTGCAGTAATTGCGGTCACGTGCGGTATAGTAGCAATAGAGCTCCTTGAGAAAGAGTTCATCCAGGGAAATACTGCCACCGTATACTGCCGCCAAGCAGGAATGAGACTTGTCAACTTTTGTCTCAGGGTGACGGGCGCAGTGGCAGCTCTGACTGGCACTGCAACTGCTATAGACAGGCGTGTCGCTTAATATCCCTTTATTTGGTACCATAAAAAAAACAAAAATAACTCTGTGATTGTTTTGCTGTTTTTATGTCATTTTTATTGTTATTAACATACTCACCCCGCCTCATTAAGCGGAACAAAAAAAACGTGAGAACATAAATTAGTAACCGTTTACATATAAAAAAATAATAGTTTATTGACAAAAACTAATAATAAACAAAATGCATTTTTTTACATTATGCGAGAAATAACAAAAATAGTTGAAAAAATATAAAACTTTATCAACTAATTTTAAATTTACAAGAACACTAATCAACCTCGAGCCACTCGACAAACCTGTATTAGTAGGAAATTAAAACAATAGAATGAAGACATCACAAATCGACATACATTTAAAAAAAAAATTGACCTGAAGTAAAAAATTATAATACCAGTAGGGCTGGCACGACATAACGCGACTTAAGCGAGAGCGACATAAAGCGCGAGATACTGCTGTTCTTACATGGAGATCTCGCGGTTTATGTCGCTCTCGCGCAATTCTACTGGCCCGACTTTAGAAAAGACATTGCATTATTTTGAGGATTTTACTAGTGTTCCCTAAAATCTGTCGCTGTGTGTAGTATGTAAGAAATATTTTACTAATGCAATGAACATATTTCGCCCCTTAAAATGCTAATGGACTCACAATTATGGCTAAATGAATTATTTATATCGCAACATAGAAAATTTAATTCTGAATCGAACTATGTAAACAAGTTTCTTGCGTCGAAATTGTAATTTACGTTCATTTGCGCTGAAGAAAACGGTTTCTTTGAAATAAAGATTTGAATAAAGGATATTTGAATATAAATATAAACCTGTGGAGCAATTACACTAAAAAAGCATACAGTGACTTGTATCCAATTCAACATCGCCCTCAGGGGACTGCTGAGGCTGCCTCGACCCTGTAGTGCCTTAGGGATGTTCGCGGAGGCTAGAATTGCTAGTTTTCAGGCAGACATTTGCAAGAGAGTGGCATCCCTGGGAGAGGCAGCAGAAACTGTCTTCTTAAGGTGGTAGCCGAGAGGGTGGACAGCCCAAGCTTTAAGTATTGGATGTCCATCCTTGTTCATGAAAATGAACACTTTGCTTTTTACTAACATAGTTGTAAGTACCTACTAACACCATATGGACTTATAACTGTACCTATTATCTGAAATAGTTTCATTTAATTTCATTTCATAAAGGAGAATGAGATAATTTTAAAATAAATATAAATGAAGTAGACATTCGAATTTTCGGGTTTTAGGTGAGTAAGATAATTACGTCTTCGCTTAGCTACGGCTTACGACAACATGAAGAGTTCTTAAGGGGATTTCTACACATAGGAGTTTATTTTTCGGATCTTAATCGAATTGATTTGGCAACCATTGGAACTGTATTTTTTAATAAAAAAATAAGTGCGCAGGTTCAAGTTATACCGTTCAAGGAACAAGTCTGCAAGCAGGGAATTCCACTTCCTAGCCGGTTGCCATATAAATGTGGAAGCGAAGCTTCGTGCGAATCCTTGGAATATCCTCAACATAGGGGTGGAACCCCAGCCTGCGTCTAAACCTCCGATGATGGAAAGGGGAAGGCGGAATTAAATCATGCAATTCCCTCGCACACTCTTCATGATATATCCTGTAGAATACCGTAAAAGTCCAGAGACGTCGGTTTGAATGAAACAAATAAGCGTTTCAGACTTAAAGAAATAGTTTCCATATAACACAAAGAGTACAAAAAATCTTACATAAATTTAACAATTTGTTAAGGAATTTCAAATAATTATAAATAAAAACAAACCATATACAAATGTAATTAAGCACAAGGCGCGCATTTGCAAATTAATGGATCGAAACAAGGCCGAGTTGCCCAACTCTGAGTTAAGACCTCTTTACACTATTTTAGTGTTTAGGCGAGTGCGTTATGCGGTACGAGTCATTTTGAAGAATATCCACCGCATGTTTGCTTATAATGAACAAGTAACTTAAAATTTCATAACAGCCGTGGTAGCCCAATGGTTTGCTTATAATAAGCTTAACCTACCGCCTCTCAAGTAGAGGCCGTGGTTTCGAATCCGGGCTCACACCTCTGAGTTTCTCCGAATGTATGTTTTTTTTTAAATAATAATACCAAGTAAGGGGACGAACAAGTCGTGCGCCTGGTGCAACCAACACGTCCATAACTGTTGCAGTGCCACTCAGAGCTTAAAATCGAAAAGATCCGAGGGACACTGCCACTACGGCTGAGACCCTGAGACATTAGTTGACAAGTCCCATTTGTCTGTAATTTCACCAAGACCTTTCAATACCGGAACGCAATAATGCACTCATTATTGCTTGGCGGCAGAGATAGGTAAGATGGCAGTACTCCCCTGTACGAAATCTTTCACAAGAAGCTCTACTGCTACTAAAACTTCTCCATAAAAAATGTGGCAGGTCCAATAACCAGATGACGCCCGAACACCCTCAAATCATCATATGCTGCTTTTCTTAAGATATTATTCAATCAATTAACTAACTGCGCGAACTTTTCGGTGAAGGAAAATATTGTAATGAAACCTGCACGTCGAAGAACACAACCTTCGGAAAACGTGTTAAGTCCCCAACGCACCCACATTGGGCCAGAGTGGCGGACTGTGGCCTAAAAATCAACGCCTGAGAGGAGACCCGTGCCCAGCAGTGAGACGTATAAATGAGTTGAAGATTAACTTAAAATGTCGACTTTCCATTCTTTTTACATGACGATGAATGCAAAAATAGACGTTATGGGGGTCAAAATATCGTCGTTGTTTAAATGTTCGTTGATTAAAACAATTTCGAGTCGTAAACCAGTGTCGGTTTTTATAATTTAAATTGTGTTGGGCTATTTAATTTCACTTTTAATGGAAGGCAAAAAGTAGAAATGAATTTTTGCGAAGTTTCAATCCTGTTAATTGTATAGTGGCTGTTTTTTAAATCCTCGTTTTTTACATTAACAGTGTAGTAAAATAAATAATTGCTTTTCATAGGCAAAGTCAAATTCGTTAACAAAAATTTAGAAAAAACCGTTTTATTATATAAAATTCTTATGATATCTTTTACAACTAATTTTGGTATGAGCAGCATTCTGTATTGGAATATAATCGCCATACTTAGCATGCAGCTTTACGAGCATATTAAAGATGCAACTTATTATTCAGATAACTGCTATATTATGCACGGACACACTTCCATTGCCAAAAAAACTAAGTTCCAGACGGCTTTTAAATTGGCAATGTATCTAGCTCATGATGTCGTTTTACATTTTTTTTATATACGACACCAAGTGACGGGACGATCACGTCGTGCGCCTGATGGTAAGCGACGCGCCTTTCCATAACAGTGCAGTGCTGAGTGGAGCTTTTAATCGCAAAAATCTGAGGGGCATTACTACTGCGCCCGTCATCGCGAGACATAAGTTAATAAGTCTCATGTGCTTGTAATTTCACCAGCATCCTTTACTCTTCAAAACCGGAACGCTGTAATGCTCACATTACTGCTTGGCGGCAGAAATGGGTGAGGTTACACATGTACAAACTGTAATGCCTTTGTATTTCAAAGGAACATAGAAATCAACATTAGCCAGCAATTCGCCACTTATAAAAAATCAATAAACCATACAATTGTTACTAAACACTAAAGTAGATGTAAACGAGCTCTAAGAAAAAAATGTTAACTAAACGTGTACTCAAAATAGATTTGATTTATAAAAGGATATACATATTAATTTGCAATTAGACATATTTATAACTTATTACATTTCGAGGTGAAAACAAGGCTGATCGAAGACTTTATAGAATCGAAAGAGCACGATCAATCGATTACAGTACCGACAAGTTGTCAGTCATTAGGCAATAAAAGGAGCTTACGCTAACTGGTTGAAAAACATCAAATCACCAGTCCGTTAATGTTGAGGTGCCACTTACTATGCCAAATACCATAACCTTTCCTATAGGGCTAGCAGGACCAGCCGCGACTTGTGCGAGAGCGACATAAAGCGCGAAATTCTCTATACTAGAATAGCAATATCGCGCGCTTTATGTCGCTCAAGCGCTTCCTGGCGTGCTAGCCCTACTGTACGTCTGGCACACAAGAATCGGCGAGTCCATTGAGCGCAGGCCACACTGCGAACGAAGCTAAGGCTAGGGTGAAGTGCAGCAGAAGGGCAACATATTTTACAGCTTAGCGGGATAGTTGGATTAGTTTAGTTAGTTCGGTGAGCTTAGTTCGCGGTGTGAACCGAAGTATGAAAAGATGCCCCGGCTACGTGAGCTAAGCTAAGTTAGCTTAGCTTCTTTCTGTTATACACGGCACAGTAAAAGTATTTTTTTTAAAAGACTATTTTCCCAAAATTGTGTAATTCGGGAAGAACTGGTAATCTAAGTACAATAAAATAAAGAAATAATATAAGAAATAAAAATGGAATTGGCACGTGTTTACACGACAGGAGTTAGGAAGGAACTGAGCTGCTTTCTATGGAGTTTTATTGATGTTTAAAGA